ATAAACGAAAAATCGGTATTGAATTCCGAAAAAATATCGTCCGAAAAAAATAAATCTTAAGTTCAAAAAACGAATAGTTCCCATTGTAGTTACAAAAGATTTTAGTCAGACGTAAATTTTTAAAACTATTATAATCATTGTTGAAACAATTTTTTACTACGCAAAATAGTTTTTGTGAGACATTATTAAGAAAATTGGTAAATTAAGTAGTAAAAACAAGAGTTCAGTCAGACAACACTTTAATTTCGGTCAAATTAAGTAGTAAAAACAAGTTTCCAGTCACACTGAACAGTTAACAATACAAAAAAATTTTATAAAAAAAAAATAAAAAAAAACACAGACAAAACAAAAAATAATTTGTTTCGTAAATTAATTAACGTTTAAAATTGTCAAATTAGTAGTAACAAAAAGTTTTAGACAGACAGAAATGTTTAAATCATTTGATATCATTGTTAAAACTATTTATTATTAAGTAGTTTATTAAAAATTTGTTTCTGTGACACAATTTTTTTGAAAAATGTCCAATTCAGTAGTAAAAACAAGCTTTTAATCAGACAGAACAGTTAAAATTCGATAATTTGAGTTTTAGAAACTAATTAGCATTTAAAATGCATAAATTAGTAGTAGGTTAGTAACGAAAGGTTGAAACTATTTTTTTGTTAAGCAAAGTAGTTTTGGTAAGACAATATTAAGAAAATTGTGACATTCAGTAGTAAAAATAAGCTTTTAGTCACACAGAACAGCTAAAATTCGATAATTTGAGTTTCAGATACTAATTATTAGTATTTAAAATGAATAAATTAGTAGCAGGTTAGTAACGAAAGGTTGAAACTATTTTTTTGTTAAGCAAAGTAGTTTTGGTGAGGCAATATTAAGAAAATTTTGAAATTCAGTAGTAAAAACAAGTTTAAAGTCAGACAAAGCAGTTTAAACTTGATAATAAAGTTTTCGGCATTTAATTAGTATTCAAGTTCGATGAATTAGTTGTAACAAAAGGTTTTAGTCAGACAGAAATAATTGAATTATTTAAAATCATTGTTGAAAATATTTTTCGTCTAGAAAAGTAGATTTAGTAGGACATTATTTAGAAAATTGTCATGTTAAGTAGTAAAAACAAGTTTTCAGTCAGACAGAAAAGTTAAAATTGAATAATTTAAATTTTAGAAATTAAGTAGTATTTAAAATGGATAAATTAGTAGTAACAAAGATTTTAGTCATACAAAAGTGTTTAAATCTGTCAAAAACATTGTTAAAACTATTTTTGTCAAGAGAAGCTGTTTTTATGAGACAATGTTATAAAAATTATCAAATTAAGTAGTAAAAAACAATTGTTCAGTCAGACACAGTCTAGTTAATATTCGATAATTTAACTTTCGGAAATTTCTTAGCGTTCAAAGCGGATAAATTAGTAGTGACGAAAGGTTTTAGTCAGACAGAAATGTTTAAATCACTTAAAATCATTATCAAAACTATTTTCGTCAAGAAAAGTAGTTTTTTTACTATAAAATATTAAGAAAATTGTGAAATTAAGTAGTAATAACAAGTTTTCAGTCAGACAGAACAGTTAAAATTTGAGGATTTAAATTTTGGCAATTAAGTTGCTGATAAATGGATAAATTAGTAGTAAAAATAAGAGTTTGGTCAGACAGAAATTCGCTTTTATAAAATTCTAAGAAATTCTTTTTTAAATGAACGATTCATTATCGCCAAGCACCTTGTTTTGAAGTTTAGAAAATTTTTGAAGCTGTTAGAGTTGTTTAAAGTCATTTATAACCGCGAGGTAAAGAAGAAGCGTTGCAGTGGCGCGCTGGTAATAATGCATGGTAGCGCGTTGTTTTTATTAGAATGCCAACGTCTTCTGTTATTTGAAATAGAGAAGCTTTTGAAAATCAGCAGGAGCGCAATGATGGATTACAAGAAATTTCTGGTTACAAATACGTAGATCATGAGTTGAGTCAACTTGACTTTCCTGCGCAATGTACCAGGGATGCTGAGTATTGGAAAACTCCCTTCTACCATTCAACCATCTCTAAGCTGAGAATGATTGAGCAGCCATCGCATATTACTTCCGTAGTCTCTCTAGGAACCTCATCAACCTCTTCAAAACGTATCACTCATATCTTTTCTTCTTTCACATAGGAAAGGTCAAATCTTCAAATATACATTCTTCTTTTTAATAATGTTTATCTTCTTTTAACTTTAACATTAACTATAACTATAATTTTAACTGAGGGCCTTACTGGGATATATTTACCTATATTGTCAAGGTAGGACCATGGGTATTAAAAAAAGAAATAGACCATCAAAATTGTTAGAAATTGGCCCAAAATGAATGGAATTCTAATAAATTTCGAATAGTTAAAAATAATTTTAAAAAATCGAATAGAACATCCGAATAGTAAAAAATACTTTTCAAAAATTGAATAAAAAAATTCAACATTCAAGTGGTTCAAAATAATTTTTTATAAAAACTCAAATGGAACATTCGCTGCAATATGCATTTGGTATTTGAAATTGAATAAAATCCACTCGAGTTCACAGCTTCTACGAATTTCAGCTATCGTGGCAACGCAAGAATTCAAAAGTGATCTCTCTTGAGTCAAACTGAATGAGCTGGGGTGCCATATCACGATACCTAGCAGAGTGGCGAGTTCGAGTTGGAGAACCGTTGGATGGAAACGGTATTGGATGTCACCACGAGAGAGGAAGAGAGAGAAAGAGAGAGAGAGAGAGAGATTACGTGTGGCTTTGAAAAGAAGTCACCGATCTCTCTTATTCCGCAACCCTCTTTTTCCCATCCACCATTTATCTCCGGTCCATATTTTTCTATCCCTCTTCTTCCTGTTCGTACTTTTTATTCTCTTCTTCTTTTTTTACCCTTCTTTTTTACTCTTTCTTGTACTTTTCTTCTTTTTTAATCTTTATTCTACTTTTCTTCTTTTTTTTCTCTTCTTTTTACTCTTTCTTTTACTTTTCTTCTTCATTTTTTCTACTTCTTACTCTTTTGTTTACTCTACCTTTTTTACTCTTTTCTTTTAATACTATTCTTTTTCTTTTATTTTTACTCCTCTCTGTACTCTTTCTATTTTCTTTATTCTAGTTTCTTTAATTTTCTTCTTCTACTGTTTCTTTTACTCTTATTTTTTCTGTTTCTATCTCTTCTTTTTATTATTTCTTCACTCTTCGTCTTGTTCTTCCTTTTACTCATTTCTTCTCTTTTTTTCTTCTTTTTACTCTTTTGTATACTCTTCAATTTAATGTTCTTTTTTTACTCTTCTTTTTCTCTTCTTTTTACTTTATTTTTATCTTTTTTACTCATCTTTTTACTCTTTCTTTATTCTTCTTTTTTACTCTTTTCTTCTCTTCTTTTATCTTCTCTTTACTTTTTTCGTACATTTCCGTTTACTCTTCTTTTTATCTTCATTTTACTTTCTTTAATCTTTTTTAGTTATCTTTTTACTCTTTCTTTATTCTTCTTTTTCACTCTTTTCCTTTCTTCTTTTATCTTCTTTTTACTTTTTTGAGTACATTTCTGTTTACTCTTTCTTTATTCTTCTTTTTCACTCTTTTCTTCTTCTTCTTCTTCTTCTCTTTTTTGCTCTTTTTAAATTTTAACTCTTCCTTTTATTTTCTTTTCTTTACTTCATTTCCTTTATTTAATTTTCGTAATTCCTTTTTTAATCCATTTTTTCTCATTTATACTCTTTTTTACTCATTTTTTAATTTTTACTCAATTTTCAATTTTAATTTCACTATTTTTTTAATCTCCTTTTTCCTTTCTTTTTATTTTCTTTTTTTAACTAACACTAATTCAGAAAACACACGAACTACTATCTTCGTCCTGTCAACGTTAAAAATCCAATCTGTAAAAGATACTTTTACCTTTCACAAACGTACGTCATTTGTTAAAAAATTTTTTCCTCCATTTTTTTCCCTTTTTATACATTTCAATATTAGAATCAATCATCGATTGGATTTTTCTACTGAATGAATATTTTTCTGCTGATAAATCACAATTATTGAGTATGCGATTATTGACTCTAGTAGCAAAAAAAAAAAAAAAAAAAAAAAAAAAAAAAATGAACAATCCTATAGATGGATTGTTATATTCCCGCTGGAATTTATGACAAACTGGTAATAATTTTTCCACGAGAAGATTGGCATTTTTCATACAGAAAATGTTTGAAGAGATTTTCATTTTCTCTCTCTTTCTCTTTCTCCCTCTCTCTCTCTCTCACTCGCTCTCTCGCTCGACTTTGCAAGTGAATCCATTGTTCAAAAAACGAACGGCATTCCTGAATAATTCATAATTAGTCGCAGTGGAAACTTTTTTTTTACCCTATGTTTGCAAAAATAAATAATATAATTGAATAAATAATGCGTTATCTTTACGCATTGTTTATTCATTGTTGGAGGAGACAAAAAAAAAAGTTATGAAAAGTTGGTGAAAAAGTGCTATTGTTGTGTTTTGAAATTGTTTATATTTTTATGAAAAGGATAAATTCGTGAAAATTTTGCTATTTGCGAAATTGTATATTATTAATCTAGCACTTGGAGAATGTGGTTTAACTCTAGGAATTAAACAAATTACTAATTACTGCTTCATCCAGCTCGTTAATTATCATGCCTGCTATATGCCAGTGAAATGTCTGTATTATTTATTTACTTGTTAAATAGAATAGTCTCGTTTATATTCTCAACGGATTTGTACGACGCCAAAGTTACGTCCGTTAATTCACGTTTTCCGCGGTGAAAATTTTCCATCCCTGTGGAATCGCCGCACTGACTGTGCAAATTTAAATATGAATCACGAGAGTAAGCGTCAGATGAAACAATTATCTCACCAAAATCTAAAGAGGACTTTTATACAATTTTTTCCTTAGTTTAAATTTCAAGAGTTTTTTTTTTATTTTCTTTTCTCCTTTTTTATGGCGTTGGGAAAAATATTTAGGAATTATTTGAAAAAAGGGAAATTATAATTTTAACATAAAGAAACTCACCTCTGTGCCTGTTGGTTTGCTTGTCGAACATAAGCATGGCATCCTCGATCTGAAAAAGAAAATGATATTATTAGAAAATACAATTTTTAGATAAATAGTATTTTTTTTCAATTCCAACTCGTTTCCTCGCTAATAATAATTATTAACTATTTCTATCACAGCCAGATAAATAATTTATTTCATTATATAAAATTTATTTAAATCAAATAAAATTTATTTGAATTCTTTTTTTAATTAAAAACTCTAAACTGTGCAATAAACTATATTCAAATTATTGTGCTTTGAATTACAAATTTGAATATTCAGCTAAAGTTTGCAAAAGCAATTTAATATTTGCAAGTCCCGTAGTGAAAGTTTGTTCAAAACATTGAAATCAGGAGAAAAGATTGACTTTAGTAAGGGCAAAATTTTTTACAATACTTATTTGAAATTAAAAAACCCGATAAAGACAATCTTGTCTGACTATAATTTGGCTTGACTACTTACAATAGAGGAAATTCAAATTTTACTCAAATGTCTGACTAAAACTATTATTACTACTTAAATTAATTATTTTAAACCAGATAAAAGTAATTTTGTCTGACTATAACTTGGCTTCACTACTTGAATCATAGAATATTCAAATTTTACCCTTCTGACTGACTAAAACTGGCTTCACTATTTAAATTAATTACATAATATTCCATTTTAGGTAATTTTCTCTGACTAAAACTTGGTTTGACTACTTAAATTATCTCATTTTCAAACTTTTAAACTTTCGACTAAAAAAAAATAAGTTTTATTACTTAAATCAGACACTTAAAATCAAATAATCGATAAAAGCAAAATTGTCTGACTAAAACTTACCTGGACTACTTGAATTAACGAATAATCAAATTTTACTCAAATGTATGACTAAAATTATTTTTACTACTTGAATTAGTTATTAGAACCAAATAATTGCAATTATGTCTGATTGTAACTTGGTTTGACTACTTAATTGAGTAAATATTCTAATTTTACTCAAAAGTTTGAATATAAATATTTTTACTACTTAAATTAATTTAATTATTTAAAACCAGATAAAATCACTTTTGTCTGACTAAAATTTGGCTTGACTACTTAAATTATGGAATATTTAAATTTAACCTGTCTGATTGACTAAATCGAGTTTTATTACTTAAAGTAGTTATTTAAAATCCGATAAAGCCAATTTTGCCTAACTAAAACTTTGTTTGTCTTACTAAACTTTGTCTACTAGTGAATTGACTGTTTCAAGTACACCTTAACTTCTAAAACTTTGAACCATAAACTTAAAGGTGTACTTTTTGCCTAAAACTATAGCTTTTCTACTGAAATTTTTGCTTTCTAAACTGACGAAAGCAATTTAGTCTGACTAAAAATTGTATTGACTACTTAAATCAGCTAATATTCGAGTTTTTACTAGAGTAACTAATTTTATAATTTTTGTCTGACTATAATTCGTCTCTACTACTGATTTCAATGTTTTAAATGTTTAATAACTTAAAAAACTTGGTTTGAAAAAATTAAACTAGTCTGTCTGAGTAAAAATTGCTTTTACTACTTAAATTAATGCCTTGACAACCGATTTTTTATATTTCTAGAAAAATTTTATTTTTCAACAGTATTTTTCTTTTTATAAAAAAAACAATACAAAAAATGATCAATATTTCAATTCTGTAAATGGTAAAACAAAAGAAATACAATAAATAAAATAAATTAATTTTAATTACAATTTGCACTAAAGGACATTTTTTTTTTATTTTTGTAAGTCCGTATATTTTGACTCAATAGATGAATAAATAAAATAATTAATAATTAAAATAGATGCTAATGATTTATTTCTATTTGAACCCCAATAAAGTACACGTAATTAAAATTACTAGTTTATTTATTTAATTTAAAAAAAGAATTTATTTGTATCAGCGAAGAATGTATCAGATATAAATTTCATTTTTCTTATTCTGTAATCAGTAATTCTTTTTCCCCTTTGGGTGCGCTGTAAAAAGTGGAAGAACACTTTAGTGGTATTGAAATTTAAAAAATTCTGTTTCCAAAAAGTTATTACATTTGAGTTACAATTCACTATAGAAAGCGAATAAGAAAGAATCTGGTCAAATCACGTAAAGAAGCGAAACGCTTTCATATTGTATGGAAGTACAAACATATGCGTCGTAAAGCACAGCTGGCTTGAGATTTACAGAGCACGCTGCTGAGAAAGACGATGTCGTCCCGAGAGGGTGGAAAAAAGGGGGATGATGTTCGAAGAGCGGCACCACAGAGCGAAGCGAGAGAAAGAAAGAGAGAAATAAAGAAAGAAAGAGAGGGGAGGGGGGGGGTGGAAGAAGGAGAAAATAAAAAGAAAGATAGAAGAAGAAAAAAAAAGGTGGAGGCGGATTTATGGGACAGCAGAAACAATAGGGATTACCCTTTATTCCTGTCTCCTACCACCTCTCTTTCAATCCCAATTGTCAATTTGCGAATCAGCGCTATCGAGGAGATAATAAGTCTTATAAAAGTTAAAGCTGTTTTCTAAACAATTAAATTTCACTTTTATTTTATAGGTCAGCTTATCCCGTCAAAGAAAAATCAACGTTAAAATATCCCAACAAGATAACTTGTGTACAGTGCTCTTATTCTCTTTTTTTTCCAATTAAAATTGCAAGGCGATAAAATAATTTTAACTTTTCTACAAAAAAAAAAAAAAAAAGAGAAAAGAATAAAAATAATTTTTCTTTCTCCCATAAAATGAAACTACAATATAAACATCAAAGGAAAATTATAATATTTACTTTATAAAATGGAAAAAAGAAAACATTTTATTATATCTCTCCACAGGATTCCTCAGATTACGATCTGATTTAACAAATCAGAATTATTATCATCTCTCACTTCTGTTATAGACGTTTTTATTATTTGTATTTTTTAGCCGTTCAATGATAATTACAGCAAATAAAATATTCGATTATAATAAATGGAAAATAGCATTAAAAATAATATAATACGTTATTTTTATTAAAGTTTACACTGAAAAAAAATTATATTTGATTCAAATAACCGATTACTTAACTATTATCAATAAAATATTTCCTTGAATCAAATAATTTTTATTTCAGTCAATTAAATTTTATTTGCTTCAAATACTGATATTATTGATTCAAATTCAAATAGAATTTAGTTGAATCGAATAAATTTTTTTTCAGTGTATAATTATAATTTAATAAGTAATTAATTTAGTATTATCATTTTAATAATATTAATAAAAATATTAATATTATTAATAACATTCATAATTATAATTACAATTTGTAATAAAAAGGTCTAAAGCGTATTTAGATTTTTTATTACAAAAACATTTAAAAAACGGTTTGAGAAAAAAAATTTCAAATAATTTAAAATCGTCAAAAAAGATAAATAACTAAATAAACAAAATTAAAAGTTTGAATAAATTCGGTTTCAAGTTTCAACTAGACAGTTTGCTGTAAAACAAAGTTTTTCATTTACTTTTCTATAGAAAAAAATTGTGGAAGAAATCAAAGTTATGATTTTTCTTTAGAATGCTTATTTGAGTCGGAAAAATTTTTTATGCTCAAAATTATAAAAATTATATATAATATATATATATATATATATATATATATATATATATATATAATATGTATATAGTATATGTAGAAAACTTGTTTAAAGCTTTTGATTTTGAAGTAAAAGACTCTGGAGGCAAGACTTGTTTGGATATCGTTATCTGCTCTCGAGACGAGTAGACAGAAGAAGAAAAAGCACTAGGGCATTACTTTCTTCAAAAACATTCCCAGTGGATTGAAAAATAAGTGTCTTTCGAGAAATAGCTTATCTTCGATTTTTCACTTTTTGACCGTTAGTCAACATTGAAAATTTCCCATTCACAAGAGGGAAAATATTAACTGAAAATAATTTTTAAATTGAAAATTTTTTTTAATCTTTTTGATAATTTTTTATTATTCTTTATTCAAATTTTCGTTCACGTTTAATTTAAATAAAAATTTAAATAAAAAAATGCATTTGATTTAAGCCAACGATTACTTGTCTATTTAATAATAAATATTTACTTGAGTCAAAATAATTTTTTTATAAAACCAAATAATTTCCATTTTTCGCAAATAAATACTTAAATAAAATAATTTTTTCTTAAGCAAATTATTGTTAATTTATGCAAATAAATACTTGAGTGAAATAATGCTTTCTTAATCAAATAATTTTTAATTTAAACAAATAAATAATACTTAAATCACATAATTTTAAAATCAAAATTTTAAAATCAAATAATTTTTATTTTCATCAAATAAATTGTAGGCGAACTCAATTACTTAAATTTTTCTTTTAAAATAGTTTTAAAGTTCAAAGAGTGGTTCAACCCAGACTATACCTATAAAATTCAATATTAAATTATAAATTGAAATTAAAATGGAATTGAAAGGAATAAATAGAAAATAAATTTATAGCAGTTTAATTTTTTTAAAATATTTTTATCATTTATTTTTTAAAAGTATGAAATTTAATTTTCAAAAAAATTTTTTAAATTTTTATATAAATACAATTTCGAAATGATTTTGTTGAATTCCAATTGAATAAAATATTTTATTGATTTCAAATGCTGACTTTTTCAATTTTCTCCATTTTCACTTAAATTTCAAACAACTTTTTCTATAACGTGAATTTAAAAAGTTTGAATAATACACAAAGAATCGAAAAAATGTGAATAATTTTATTCACGTACAAAAGTAGGAGAATTTTTCTTGAAAGGAATTACAGATATATTTTTTTATTGTAAATGTTTCAATACCTTAAGTGGATATAACATTCTTTTATTTTAATTAGTGAATTATTTTTTTATCTCTTTTTTCACCTTTTTTTATGAAATTTTCCCGGAGGTAAATATATATATTTTAATTTTTAACTCGCAAATGAATTTTTACTTTGCAGTCGTATAATTCCAACTAAATCTATAAAAGCAGTCATAAAAACTAGGTCAACGGTACAGGAATTCCTCTCTCACTCGCTCGCTCTTTC